CAGTTTGGACCAACCTAAAGCTGGTTGTAATCCTCCGTTAAACAGTAAATAGTTGGATATCTTGATATCGATTTATAAGCTAAATAAGTTCACTTCAGAATTATTTTATTTTTTTCTCAAAACCATTTTCCACTTTTCATAACTCAATGGGTGCTTTTCATGTAACTGCAAATTTAAGTATTTTTTCTGTGTTTGGTTTTAACAAATGTTTTAATGCTTTAAGAAGACGAATTGTTAGTTATGATTACTTTGATTATTCCAAAATACTATGATAAAATGAAGGCTAAAAGAACTTTGAAGACACTGGAAAAACCAAATCAACAAAGAACGATTTAGTCATTATTAGACCGCGAAAACGTCTCCCAAGTAAACAAAATGCCAAATTTCTAATTGAATATAAGCTTCGTATCAAATTGAAGAGATCTGTTGATATCCATTACTATGAATTTTGAGATGGTGGAGAAGATTTGTAGCTCAGGTGGGTGATTTTGATGTTGGTTTGTTCTCTGAGCTAGATGGTTTGGTCGTAGAGTTTTCATCGTCCTTCTGAACGACATCATCAGCACAAACTTCGGGTAGAAGTGAAGTGTTTGAATTTCTCCACATGTTATTCACAGCTTGTCCTCTGCTCCTCGATGTTGATTGGTTCTTATTGACCCTAAATCTGTCATTGTTTATTTCTTTGTTTTGTGCTGATGATGTCGTTCAGAAGGACGATCAAAGCTCCAAGACCAAACCATTCAGCTCAGAGAACAAACTAACATCAAAATTACTATGAATACTCTGTATACTAACGAACTCTAATACCTAATGTACTGTGATGTATCAACGACTTAGTAATAAGACATCAGGTTAATAAGAGCGATTGGAACTAGGGATAAAAACTTACTAAAAGTATCTTCGTTTGGTAGATATGACTTGTATACCACTACATGAATAAATATCTCATTTGTAACATACCCAATGTATGATACCTGAGTTATCTGCTTTTAGCTCAGAATATTGTACTACTGAAAGCTACTTCTTTGTTTATTAGCAAATCAGAAGTTTTCGTGTGTACTGCTGTCCTGTAATGGTATGTCAGCATACCATCAATCATTTATGAATTCACAAGGTGAAAAGCACTAGTCGATTTGATTGTAATTTGGGAATTCTCTACTAGTGGCTAACTTATGAATAAAATAGCAAAACAATATAGAGGGTAATATGTAAACTAAAGGTGGATTGGTGGTTGTGAGTTATTCACGATTAGAGGCGTAAATATTTTAAGCCTGATAAATGAAAAGTATTTCAAATTACATAGACATAGGTATAGTATAGTTTGTTTCCACCGCGAACCACCAGATTTCGTTACTTCATCTCGTTAAAAATTCCTCTTTTTGTGTGTGTTAGCAGTTGACTATTTTGCTAGCTTAGTTTTAAAGTTGTGTGTCTTGATACAAAGATATAGGAAAGCAGATTACTTAGAAGTTGATCAAATAAGATATTAGTCCTATTATTTATTGCTGACTTTCTATCCACCCTGTTTTTCATTTTGAAGATCTACTTGTTTGAAACTATATAACTATGAATTCTTGAAAACATAACGTTACACGACCTTGGAAGGATTGGAAATAATTCCTATTTGCGTGTTTATGTATACGATCTATGGATACGTACACAAAGTTCATCCCCATATCACTTACTCGTTTTACACTCATAATAGTATGTCTAACTGACGAAAAGCGGACGTGGTTGTCCGAATCTCGTTTCAATTACAAGGGAAAGAGATATACCAGTTGTCTATCCAAATTCTCATATTAAATTATTCCCCTGGTCAATCGAACTTTCTTGGTCTGAATTATAAAATATTAAAAACTCCTATGGTGTGAAATAAATCAATTTATCTGTGCGAAAAATATTGTTTTCAATTAAGTCTTCATCAGGCTTTACTCTAGTATACAGTAGTATTTTTATGGATATATGAAAAGTATTATAATAATCAATCAATATTTTTATTTAGTATGTTGAGTTAGGTAGTCTATCTGATTGTTATCCTTAATTCATAAACTGACTTTATTGGTTTAATATTTTTCATCTGTTCATATTACTGTGTATTAGAGTTAAGTCTGATGAGGATCTGACTGAAGTATTAGCTTTCTGTTCTTAGGTGATGACGGTGGCATTGCTTGTATTTTTTAAATTGCTTTCAACCATTTTAAATGTAGTCATTGGAGCCAAAGGAGAAGTCCTAATGAAATGTAAACAATTCTTAAAGAAAATTCACATCGATTGCTTTGTGTCACATGGATTTAAAAATGTAAAGCAAATAAGCTATTATTCAAAATTCGTGGTGAAACATTTACTTCAACTACCATTTCATTTTCTTGAAGTGAAGTGAAAAATCAAACTGATTTATACTGATTACTTTTGATAAGTTTCAGTCTATAAGCTGATAGTTGCAGTGTAGACTCTTACTAAACCCATTTGTATCTTCAAATGTATCTAATTACCAAAAACCTTGTAAGCATATGAACATAGAACAGTTTTAGTTTCATAAGAGGAAATATGCCACAAAATCATTAGTCATTCATCATCACGAATATAAATGAAATTAGACAAAGACACAGGATCAATATCTTCTGACAGAACGTCCCTGATAGACCAAATTAAAAAGCGCGATTAAAGCATGATATTCCTTTAAAACTCCTCAATCAATTCTCATAAGAAGCTGATGGTATAAAACAGTAAGTCATAGTGGAAAAAGTAAGACGGAATACGGCTCTTCAGATTTAACATAACTAAACTTTTATTAAAGCGCGTTAGTCACCAGTGAATTCTACTTGAATTTGTGACATAGATTCTATTAGTAATAACACTGATAAACAATATGATAGGTCGAACGACTTCAGATAAATAGCAAGTTGCGTAATGACCAAACAAATCATATAATGTATAATGATACATAATGAGAGCTACGATAACGCTCACACTTATTGTGAACTCTCTAAACATTCATGATCTTTTTTCTAGGCATAAATAGTTGAAAAAGCGTTAGGAAGCATAGACTGACGCAATCAGATAGGATAACATAACACAGTGGTTTTCAGGATATTTATGTACTCTCCAAAACATTAAGTGAAAATTGTGTCTTACATGCTGAAGATACTGAAATAAGAGAATACAAATTAATTAGTTTTATTAAATGACCTTTTTATGAGTTGCATCTGGTTGAGCTTATTGAAATATAACTCGCTTCATAGTTATATATATATATATATATATATATATATATATATATATATATATAACCATATGATTCCAATTTCATGATTACTTTCTGAGGCTGTTAAGTTAATATTCAATGCTCTTCAATGTTCATTTTCGTTAAACGTTTTGAGTTAAAAATTAACTACATAGTTAAGATCATGAGTCAATTGAAGCTAGACCACCATAGAAAACCTGGAAGCACTGGAAGGCTGTTTCGTCCCCTTGTTGGACTCCTCAGCAGTGCGCATCCACGATCCCACCTCGCGAGATCCGAACCCAGGACCTACCAGTCTCGCGCCAGAGCACTTAACCGATAGGTCACTGGGCCGGCATTCAGCGGTGTTAATATCTAACCTCAACCAATCCACGAAATCGCGCGACCACATTCCATTGTATTGAGGTAGATACCTGTCTCTACCCACAATAGGATGAAACGGCCGTCTAGTGTTCCCAGGATTTCCGTGGTGGTCTAGCTTCAATTGACTCATGATCCTAACTATATAAAATTACTAAAATCTCCACAAAAACCCCTTGTGATGAAAATTAACTAGTTATATGCTCATATTTTCATATATCTTCGAAATGAGATGGGTTAACGTTAGCTGATTAGCAAAATGTACTTTAAATCTTTAATTATTAAACTGTAGATTATTAAAGTCTATATGTAAGCCTTTGATATAGTTCTTTTTTTCAAAAATATATTCTACTCTTTATTGTGTACTGACTAATTTGACTGAAGATAGGTCTTTTTTTTCTACTCGGACTCCACATAAGTCTATTTTTCAGAGAAAACTGTTTGAATAGAAAAAACCCTGTTATGTATCTTCAATTTGAATTGTTTTGAACATTGTTTTAAAGATGAAATTGAGTATGCAAAATTCAATGTCTGCAATTGGAATAATTTATTCTTCAAATAAGTCTTAAGTCATCCATAGAGAATTTAGATGGCAATGTAATACTTTATCTGTAAGCTATTCATGTAAGTTTTCATCTAGGAAGCTATAAAATTCCTGGGAATTAGTCCAACAATTTCGTAAAATCTAAGAACTTATCTACGCAGATAAGTTTAGCTATCCAAAATAACTGAAGATTCAAACAATACTTATTGATAAACAAAATCTGAAATTTGTTCATCATTTACAGGATAACTGAATGCATGAAGGTTGGAATCATCCACTGGAATTACCATGCTATATTATGGGATCCATCAGAAAAGCGCGTGAGAAAATAACTAAAGCTGTACTTAACAAATACTCAGAAGGTCTTATATCGAGGTAGAGCAATTTTTATTTTTATTTTTTGAGCGGAGAAATCTTAGCAAAATGAACAATAACTTCTCATAAAGTATACATTTGTTAGTAGATTGGTAAATGCCTGAAAATTATTTTCAAGCTGATCAGTAAAAATTAAAACAATGTCTGTAAACTCGAAAAGGTTATTTCCTCTTTCAGATTTATACTATATTTATCCGCTCCTAATAATGATCCAACCTTTAGAGTACTCAAACTAAAATCATGTGTGTTGACCACCTATATTCAGTATGGAATAAGTTCTATGGTGGCCTAGCTTCAATTGACTAATGATTTCAACTATGAAATTACTAAAATCTCCAGGAAAACCCCTCCTAACATTGTTTTTTGTCTGTTCACAGCCGATCAATAAACATTTGAAAATAGCTGATCAAACAGTAATAAAAGTACGAATATCGCTATTGCCGTTATATGGGAGAAAAATATAAAAATGGAATTGTATATAATGAGCGTAACAGCAAGGTTGTATTGTTTAAACGATTAAAACAAAGTCAAGTTCATTGTTACATGATTTGTACATATATTATATATAAATAAGTAATTCAGTACAAAATATAAAGTTAGATTTGTAAAACACCATTAACACTGATTTATATCCACTACTGAGGTAAACTGATTTAGACGAAACAAAACGTTTATCAACCTAACTCATCAGCTCAGAATTTTGTCGTGAAAGTAGTCAAATGCTAAAATTTCAATGACGTTCGGTAATTCATTGGTAAATTTTCGATTACGTAATAAGTGAGTTATCACAACGATTTTTAGTAAATAGGTGAGCAAATTTGTTGTCGATAGTTAGTACATTTGAGACAAAAATCTAGACCAAATAAATAAAAAGGATTCAAACTTATGAAGAAGATAACTTCATATATAAGAAGAAAAGCAATTGAAGGAAGTTAACAATGACGAAACAATTACAAGCTGAACATGGTTTTAAATGTACGTAGCCTTGATAGAAATTACTTCTATTATGTGAATTATCAAAGTCCTGTAGCTTAATTAGCGCGGAAAAATGTATGAATAACCCCCCTCGCATAATTTATTATGATGAAAATTCATAAAAAGTATTTCAAGTTTGAATTCTTTGTAATCCCTTTCCAAATGTTCTAGATTTCAGCCTCCATTTTAGTGGTAAATAGTGTAACTGTTTCAGTTCTCAATTGAGTACTAATGTTAATGTTGATTGTTCACAGGTAAATAAATATTGTTCATTGGAAATTATTTATATAGCTTACATATTAAAAGTGACAAGTTTACCTAGACAGTTTGCGACGCATCAAATACTGTATGAACACCCTAAATTTTAACACTTTATAGAAGTGCATACTTTCATAACTTGGTTATTTATCTTGTGATTTCTGGTTAAATTTATCCTCAGTTGTAATTTATTATTGAAAGAAGGAAAATTTAACGTTCATTCCAAGCCTTATTTTGTTGTCATATTTTTTAATTTGGATCAAGTATTGTAGTGTGTGCTACTGATGTTGACATATATAAGTAGTATGTATCATCAATCAAAAGCGAAATGCCTGGAGGCAGAAGGTTAAGAAGATCAAAGAAAGCAGAACAAGAACAAAACGTGCTTGGTGTGGAAACAAAAGAACAATAAAGTCTGAGTCGATTGACTGATATTTGCAAAAGGAACAGCCAAGTTTGAGACAATTGATTGACATTTCACCAATGAAGTATTTACTGTATGGCTCTCAGATTTAACTAAGATCTTCTGTGATTTTGCGTTCAGATGCATTGGATTGTCCCCACTTGTGTTCTCATTCACTACCATATTATGTTTCTTATGTGTTACTCACTTCACAGACTCTGATAAATAGCTTTAGTCCATAAATCAGGAAAGAACCACTAACAGGAATTTTTTTAAATTTGAATTTCTAATTAGAGAATAAACTCTGCAGTCATCATTCGTTACTTGTACTAGTTTCTGAACTATCACCTTAATGTTATACTACGAATAATCTTTCTAGATATTTAAAATATCAAAACTAATGAATGAGTATCAAAGTTTCTTTTGTGACTACAGTATTTCATATAATGGATAGACTGAATCAACATAATTTTCTACTTAAGCAGGTTAATCAAAGTTTGTCTGGACTTGACAGCATTTACACATGTAGATAAATTAACACAACGCATGAAATTATTTGGATAACTAAGTAAATGTAAGCTGAAGGCTAAATATCTACGTCTGTTCATGTATGACCTGTTAACCAAAACTCGTACATTCTGTATTGCGGGGAATCCTAGAAGAGATGTCGGGATATTTAAATTTCCCGTTGGAGTATCGATATTCATATTTCATCTGGTCTCTGTTGAGACCTGAAATTATAATGTACCATTCTTCTTAAAATATTTTTAGCAACAATCTATTTCGAAATGCTCCCACACTAATTAGCATTTTCCATGTACATATTTAATAAACCTAGCGGTGAACAAGAACTGCCCGTGATTGTGATATGCTATGGAAGTTTCATGTACTAAACTTGTCTCTAATAAAACCTACATCATATGAGTCCGTTTTCATAGTAAAGTTGTACTTAAATTACTACATGAACACTCATTTTTATGAAACATACTTCTAGAACACATGCTGCTATTCTTACTGTATAAGACTAAAACCATTACTAGTAATCATTAGTTGTAACCATAACAAACACACCCAAACGAAAGACAGTTCATCTGAAGTATTTCCATTGCACTAGTGTATTAAAACTAGTTTAACAAAATGGCAAAAACTCACGGATAAATAATAAAATTCATTCAGCGAAAACTGAAAATGTCCATTACAGTGAAGCTTCATATGCCTAGGTGTTTCACAATATTTATTTGCTCCTGAACACATTGTTTTATTTTTCTTTCTTCATCATGAGTTAACTGTTGTGGTATTATATGACTTATTCCTTTAGAGTTGATCAAAGAAGGAAAACTTAGAAAAGCGTCTTCTTGAATCCCATTCACATCTCTAACGCATACTGAGACTGGATAAATGGTATGAAGATTGTGTATTATAGCGTCACATATGGCGCAGCAAGCAAGTCCAATCGACCATGAATTACAGCCTTTTAATCGATTAAGTTCTTCTGTACTTTTGATTGCTGATTCATAAATCAATTTGTAATTTTCAGGATCACTTGCACTTCCAATCTGTGGATTTTTGGTGACTAGACGTGCACCAGCAATATTCACGGTACTCCATAAAGGTATGCTATTTTCCCCAAGTTCTCCAATTATATAACCATGAACTGATGAGGCATCCACACTAAATTTTTGACCAAGAAGATAACAGAATCTTGCTGAGTCTAAAATTGTCCCAGTACCAAAAACTCGATGTTTCGGGAAACCGCTGAGTTTGGCGGCTACAAGTGTCATTATATCAACTGGATTTGTGACAATCAACAAAACACATTGAGAGCTATGGTAAACAAGCTTAGGGATTATTTCCTGATAAAGTTTAACATTTTTTACTAGTTTTTGTTCAGGCTTTTCGTTTTTATTGGTCACACATGCTGTAACTACGATGATATCTGAATTTGTCGTCAATTTAAAGTCTGAACCACCAGTAATTTTACAATATCTGGAGAACAGCTGACATTGCATCAAATCCATGACTTCACCCTTTACTTTACTTTCATTGATATCAATCAGAGCAATTTCACCAGTTATATCCAGTAGAGAAAATGCAATCGATGTTCCAACGGCTCCACAACCAACAACTGATATTTTGCTGAGATTCTTATACTCAATCTCATAAGAAGCAGCAGGCAAAAATACCGAGGTCATGGTGAGACCAGGAATAAAAGCAGACTGGAAGAAGTTTGGGAAGAATATTTGCTATACACACGTACACCTTATAAGCTATTTTTGCCATGAAAAGAATCAACTGCTTAAATAATGTCTCGATTTAGGTTAAAATGACAGAATTGGCCAATAACTGATTATAATTGATTTTCAGCATCTAGGTCGTTCGTCAAATGTAGAACATATATAACATATCAAATACATATGTCTTATTTCATTTCTGGCATTACTGACAAAACTAGCTAAAAGACAGACAGACAAAACATGTTAAATTAAAAAAGTCTCGAATAATGTAACAAAACGTACTTTATTCGCGAATATTAAAGATATTATGTGACAACGAAATACAATTGGTACAACAATATGACTAAAGTGCAAACTCTGACACTTAGAAATAATAAAGTGAATGTTCTCTTGGATCTGCATTATGAATAACAGTGGTACCAGAAAAATGATTCAGTAAACACATTGTTTGTCCACTATTAAAAGGTTTTACAAACTACGTATAAATGTTAAACTCCTTTGAAACGTGTATATAGTACAGAGTCTTAGATACCCTTTGTATATGTAAACCACAGTACATCAGTAAAGGATTAAGGAAATAGATAAATGATGTAAAAAGTCACAGTTTAGTTTAATTAGAATGTTAGTACTTCAGCACAGTAATTTTTATCTGTAGACTCGTAGCTATTGGTAAAGATTTCACTCATAATCAAGACAAGCGATCGAAAAATTACGAAATTAACTGCTATGAGAAAAAACGTACACAATAATCCATGTCACAATCCTTTTAAGTGCATTGTATTAACTTTAAACTTCGTAATACTCTGTGAATTTAAAAATATGAATTTGTTGGTTGGATGAAAACTGGTCCGCCTCTGATCGAAATTGTTGTATTATTTGTACTTAACTGGATTTACTTTGCAAAGTATATAACAGTCAAAGATAAGATACTGTATCAATACCATTGAGAAAAAAAATGTTAAACTCCTCAGTTCATATCAGCTTGATTGTTTGTCTTAACTGTGATTATCACGAGAGTAAAAAAGACAAACAGAACTAGTTTTAGCAAGCTGTTGATATATAAATGGATGTTACGAGAAAAAGTGTTACAGAAAAAATTTACATGGTTATTGTGTTACACCCGACTAATATACAAATTTAAGTGATTAAGTCAAAACCATAAGATACTATATGTTATATATTATGTAGAGTTCAGGAAATAAATATCTTTATGATCATAACTGAGTACCCAGACAATAGAATATAAAACCTATCTAAATAACTGTGTAGCTTTAATCCTTTCTGTATAAAGTCTGTAAAGAATTGTTTGAAGAATACATAATCTTCAAAGATAGGCGACAATGATAGATTACTAGTATTTTTCCATAAGTGAATTTAGAGTCTCTAGAGTTTGGTGCGAAAGTAAAGTAGGAAATACGTGTATGTTGTATTTCAAGACCAGGATGGATTGGTACTGGAGTTTGATTGATCTTTAAATGTCAATCAAGACCAAGGTCGACTGGACAAGCTGTGAGGCACATGTGGAGAAATTCGGACACTTCATTTCTACGTGAAGTTTGTGCTGATGATGTTATTCAGGTGAACAGTGAAAGCTCTGCGACCAAATCATCCAGCTCAGAGAACAAAATTTCACCTGATAAAATAGCTTGTGAAAAGTAGATTTCAAATGAACAATACATGTCCATCTCCAATACAAACCTGCTAAATACAATTATAGGCTTCGTATTGTCACATTAATATATATATATATATATATATATATATATATATATATATATATATCCAAAGTCTACTAACAAAAAAACCAAGGGTTATCACCAGGATAAGTGACCTAACATAATGCAGTTTGACCAACAACGGGCAGAAACAGTGTTAAGTAGGCCTGGAGTAAATTGACCATTAAACTTTAGTTTTTGTGGTTTTCGTATGCCAGTTTATTCCATCAGTTGATGAGGGAGATATGACCACTAAACCAAAGTGCACCCAACTTATAATATTGGGGAATGTAGTAATAATATACCAGTCATACATACCTTCAATCATTCAGACATAAGATATTTTAGATCAAGAGAAAACAAATATCTAGAAATACTGATGAGGTATTATTATAGGTTTTCAAGTTGAACAGAAAATGGTCCAAAGAGAATCTATTTTGTATACGTGTTAACAAAAATAATTATCTATACTAAAGTAACAACAAAACGCATTATCGATGACAACCTTGGAATGTATATACCTCAGAACAACCAGTTTTAGTGTCTATCCTTCTGAGACATTGTAATAGCGCTTATAAACTCACACTCATAGTTAAGAATCTTGTTTTTACAATAAATAACAAACGGGATCGGTTATATATTTACTGATAATAATTTCTCGATTTACAATTATTGAACGAAAGTATTTCCTTGATATTTTATCAAAACATTACTAAGTTATGTAACTAGGGGGAAATGAATAATTGTTTCATCGTGGAGGTATTCAATTTTTTAATGAGGTATACCGACAAATGAATAAAAATTGTTTTTAAAAAAGGGCTTTTTGAGAGCTAAACATTTCGTCCTCCGCACTTCCGCCGCATAAGATTAATTTTTTCTAGAATTAAACAGGACATAAATTCTTAAGTACAATGGGACGAGTGGAAATGTTCCTTCGCTCACAGTCCTCAAAATGTTTATGAGAACCGCTTTTCGAATTGTAGACTAAATAGTGATTACGAAATAGACTTTGCTGCTTGTCACGATTAAGTAGTATGATGAAAAAATGAAAATATTCTTTTGATCTTTTAAACATTCTTTTTCCAGTTTATTCTTAACAGTTACAAAATATCATCTCGTGATTTGTTTGTATTTGGAAGAATCCTCAAATTACAAGAAAATATAATTTTCCTTTTTTTATATCTCTTTCCGGTCAATATTTACTGTTATGACTTTTGCCCTGTTAGTTATCTTGTGACAAAATCGTCAATCCGAATACTGACTTATATGACCTTATTCTTGCGCTAAACTAATGGCACGTCAGAACAGCACGAGCAGCCTTGTTTCAACTCTAAATCATTACTGATCCTTCTCGCCTAACCATGCCCGTTGAGTCCAGAGAGCAATCTCAGTTTCCATTGTATGAATAATGTATTTCAGACATACGTAGTTTATGTATAAGCGAACCAGACCGAACACGCCATAAAATAAAAAATAACGAATATACAGGATGAAGCCAAAAAGTGGCTGTGAGTGAGAGGTTATAACTAATAGATAGGGAATAACTTACTAATAGTAAATCATATAATAATAGCCAACTGGTCAATTGAAAGCTTATGATAAAAGATATATATATATTCTAACAGCTTATAAACAGTCCTCGGAAGTTACTCATAATTTAATTTTCTTCGGATATAACACTTCCATTTTTTAAAGTATTAGGAATAACAAAGATCATAAGCATTTATTCTTATTCGATTAAGATTTCGTATGATGCTCTGCGACTGCCTTGGCGGTGTTGTACACTTTCTCTTGTTACGTGAGTTATTTTTAGTTGTATATCGCGATTCAGTTAATATGTTTTGCAGTGTATCCGGCTTTAAATCACTTCCAGCCTTCCACTCTTGTCTGGTCAGCCGTAGTTGGTTCGGATGTCGCACACATATCCTTTCCTTTCGATTATAGTTCCAATCTTCCAGGTTAGCTTTACTCCATGGAAATCTCTTGATATTAATGCTTGTCATACACTGAACTCTCTGGGCAGTGTACCATGTAGCATGTTGAATACTGATCTGAAACGCCTTACAATATCAAAATATCCTAATACTTCTTATCAACTGTTGTCAAAAGATTTTAAATAAGAGGACCAAAACATGCATAGAGAAATCCTGTTTTTTAAACACAGACAATAAACTAGAAAATGAAAATCAACTCAGTTGTTGATTGTGAAAGTTGTGAAAGTTCTGATGTAGTGAACTGTGAATGATTTATAGCAAGAATGAATTATGAATCTGAATTTTGTTGCATTGTTTACAGTTCGGTTTGTTATTTGTAGTAAGCTAATTGAAGGAAATCTCACTCGGTTGAACAACGATAATTTATTCACGAAGCTGATCGAAATCGAACATGGAACAGGTTCTTCCATGCATCATTGTTTCCAGATTATGTATAGAATGCAGAATTCTTTATCTTATACTTTTGTTTAGTATTAAAGTTATAGTTATATCAATGCTGATGATTGATGAATTCGTATGAATTGAATTATGAATTGCGGAACTATTATCCGTATTGTTCTAGAAAAGACATATGAATAAAGTGTACGTTTGTTATCTCTAGTTAACTGACCAATACGTTTAGTTACAAATTTGTGTAATGGAGTATAAAAATTACAAATAATAAACTAACATCTATTTTCTTACGGAGTATATACTACTAAATTTATTAACTATCAACATTTATCTACAAGAATTTATTGTTCTCTAACACAAATGATTTTTTATATAGTTGAAATCATGAGTCAATTGAAGCTAGACCACCATGGAAAACCTGGAAGCACTGGACGGCCGCTTCGTCCTATTGTGGGACTCCTCAGCAGCGCGCATCCACACACATATTTTATTTATACAATCAGACATATTACTTTTATTAGTAAAACATCATATGCTCACTAGTGACTGGACCCATGAGGTATTTACTGGAGTTCTAGTGAGAAGCAGTGAACAGTGTAGTTCAACCACGTCTGTTGGGAGATATCAATTCACTGAAGACACTGGTGAATGGTTGCTCAACTTCGTGGATTGGTTGAAGTTAGACATGAACACCGTTGGATGCCGGCTCAGCGGTCTAGTGGTTAAGTGCTCGCACGCGAGACTGATAGATCTTGGGTTCGGATCTCGCGAGACGGGATCGTGGATGCGCACTGCTGATGAGTCCTACAATAGGACGGAACAGCCGTCCAGTGTTTCCAGGTTTTCGATGGTGGTCTAGCTTCAATTGACTCATGATTTCAACTATATAAAAAATTACTAAAATCTCCACAAAAAACCCCTTCTGACAAATAGTAATTGTTCGTTTCAGTTCTTCTCTACTAACAAATAATGAAAGTAAATTCAATACTTATATTGTAGACATAAGAAATTGAAAAATTGGGATATATGTGTACTGATTTATTATTTACTATTGCCTCAGTTACTTTTAAAAAATTTCACATATATAATGAAATTCCAGATATGGTATATGATGATATTTGATAAATAACTTATTCACTTGTTATAGTGTCCCAATTCTGTCTGCCAACATTACTGAGTTTCCCACTACTTATCTCCCACCTTAAGTACTGAATTCATCATTTGTCAGTTAGGTTAATTTTGATTTCTTTCTGAATGACTTTTATAATCTTGATTCGTATTGTCTTTTTCGAACTCTACAAAAATGTTCAGTATTTTTCTTAATGGTATTGATACAGTATCTTATCTTTGACTGTTATATACTTTGCAAAGTAAATCCAGTTAAGTACAAATAATACAACAATTTCGATCAGAGGCGGACCAGTTTTCATCCAACCAACAAATTCATATTTTTAAATTCACAGAGTATTACGAAGTTTAAAGTTAATACAATGCACTTAAAAGGATTGTGACATGGATTATTGTGTACGTTTTTTCTCATAGCAGTTAATTTCGTAATTTTTCGATCGCTTGTCTTGATTATGAGTGAAAT